TGTAGCCTGCCCCACGTTAATGACTTATTTTTAATATGTCCTTTTTGTGATGCTACTACCTTCTTCACAGCTCTCTGTGAAACAGTTTTGTTCCATAGTCTGTAAGACTGCACATCCCACTGGGAGCATTTCAGAATAAGATCATTTTGCCTACCTGATTTTACTGACTGTTTAGATTTAGTTGATTTGGTGATTAGTTTTGCTTTGCTAGTGTGCTCCTACAATGGTTAAGAAGGCTAGTTAAATGGTTTCTTTTTGTCTGTTTTAACTGTGTTTGAGTCTGCACAGGTTGTGTTTATTTTGAAAATCACTGGATTCTTTATGCCGTTTCTGTTTCCGACTTCCTGCCCGGTTCATCTGCTCTGTGCTGCTTGACGCGGCTTCTCTTAAAAAATAGACTGGCTGCCTATTCTCCACAGAGCAGAGCGCAGAGACGCTTCTGGGACGCACTGCAAGGCTTCTGGTGTGAGCACAAGCATTGACTAGAATGGCCAGACTCTGAAGCCGCGCCGCAGACGGGCTCAGTGGACTTTCAGAGCGAGTCCAACATCATGTAGCAGGTAGCAGGTGGGCCCCACTGTGCTGAGAGTCTAGCTCCGCCCCGAGTAACGTGTAACTGCCCAACATTGTGTGAATACATAAAATTTTACTACATCTCGAATGCCACACACACACACACACACACACACACAAACAAAACAACACACAGTTTGTCGCTGACTTGGCTGATAGTTCAAATCATGACATCTTCACAATGAATCAGTGCAGTCCAACTTACCCGACACTCTCAGCATGAAGGAATCACTCCACTCTGTTGAATATAATTTCTTTTTGTGTTCACCCATACACCTGTAGTTCCCACCACTGTAAACAGTAGCGCTGATAACTCCGTATGTGTGTTTTGTCACTGTGTCTGAGCGGGGTGTTGACCACTTATACTCCCACTCAGTGTCTCCTCCGTCCTTGATCTCACATCTCAGAGTGATCTTCTCTCCTCTGTATATCTCAGGCCAGCTGGTTTGCAGAGTCACAACAGGCCTGTTTGTAACGGCTCATGATCAAAAGGCCCCAAACACAAAAATTAGAAAAGGTTTAACATTAAACACAATGTTTTAGTGTTAATCATTCTTCAGTCTTAATCATTACACCTAAACACACAATGTATTATTTCTGCATTTGTTTTTCAATCATATTGAAAAATAGCCTTTTTGGTCTTTACCGACTGGATCACTGTCCTCTGTGTAGTAAACTGGGTCTCCTCTTCCTCCTCTGCACCAGTAGAGTCCTCCCTGTGAGACACTGATTGGTCCATCTGAGATGAAGACAGCATCTTGTGTGTTCAGGGGTTCAGAGGTTTTCTCTCCTCTGTACCAGAAGTATTTCCAACCAGATGACGGGTTCACAGAGCAGCTCAGGGTCACACTGCCCCCTGCTGGAATAGTTCTCCTGTCAGCTCTCAGTTCAGCCTTTGGTCTCTTTGCTGTGAAGTTTACAACAAAGATGATAAAATGTCGTTACTGTTCCTGTGAATTAACCCAATTAAAATACTTTCATGAAAAATAATACATAATGAAATCAGAGACAAAGGAGCATTGAAGCTGTTCTGAAGGTTTGTCCCAAAACCTCACTGAGACACTTTAGGTTGATTTATCATTTGTGACCATCTGTATGTGAAGCATTCAACAATTTCTGACTTCAGCAGAGGTAACACCAAAAAACACACTATGGCAGCCAGCACACCATTTCGCCACCCAAAATAACTGACTGTGTCACCTTTTGGTTTTTCCCCACACCAGAGTCCTCAGAGCTCGTCTCATGTTCATCATCCCGCTGTCATGATTAGGCCTTTAGGCTCCCTTATGTTTTCTCCATTTTCCCTTCCCTGCTGTCCCTGTCATGTCCTGTCTGTCTGTCTGTCTGTGTTTGTGTGTGTTTGTGTGTGTGTCTGGCTCCTGGCTGATCACCATCTGCAGCATCTCGCACCTGTGGCTCATCAGTAATCAAGCCATGCAGTGAAATACTCTGGTTCATCTTCCGCTCCTCGCCAGTTTTTCAGTTTACCTCTCGTGTTATTATTGTGCAACACTCAGAGTCAAATCTAGTTGTACTTTTTGCGATCTGTTTATCACGTCCTGTTTCTTTGTTCGCTGTGCGTTAAGATGCTGCCTGCCTGCCTGTCAGTCTACCCAGGTCTAACTGCAGGACGCCAGAGCCTAATCCCCGTGGAACCTGGATTGCTCTGCCCCATCCCCAACTATCTGGTTTTCTCTGCGCACTTTGAAAAGAAACCTGCATGTGTTTTTTGACAACAGTCTTGTGTCTGCTCTTGAATCCTCAGTGGAAACCTAACAGTAAAATAGACATTTCATAAATTGTATTGATACTTGGAGTAAAATAATACATACATGGAAATACAAGCACAACAAGAGAATGTGATTAAGAGTCAATATGTAAAAACTAGAAAAAAGACAATAGGTCACCTTCAGCGTGTCCGTAGAGGAGTGTATTCAGCACTGAAATAAAGATTAAACTTCATCAGACAAAAAGCAAAGGCATTTAAATCCAGCTGGAGTTTCATCAGAGGCAACTATTGATTATCAATCCACAGGATCACACATTTCTGTGATGATATTCTGTTAGTTGGTACAGAGGTAAGTTAAATTCAAAGGCTTTATACAATATATAACAATAACAATACCTCAGACCATAAACTGAACATGCATCGTGCAAAACATTAGTGCAAAAAGAACTAGTGCAGTAGTGTATTTAACAGTCCTGCACTCTGAACCAAGTCAAATCAGAAACCAAGATCATGTCTACTAAACTACCATGTTGATAAAACATGAGTTTGCCTCTGAAAGTCTCAACATTGTAAAGTCAGTGATGTACTCACAGAATAACCCCAGCACACAGAGCAAAGTGTGCCCCATCTTCACATCCAGCACGGACACTGTCGCTCTGCTGCTGACAAATGTTTCTACTTTGCATTAATAATGATGCAGCAGGAAGAGAGAAGTTACATTTCATATAAATATATTATGAGGGCACATTTTTTCTTTACCTTCTCCTTCTGAGTACAGCCTGTCTGTTCTTCCTTCCCTTTTACACAAAGCTCAGACAACTGCAGCAAACTTTGAAATGTTTACACTTCCTGCTTGATTAGTTCACGACTCTCAACTGTGGGTCTCCAGGTTTGAGTCGTTCATTTGTCACGTGACAGCTCGGCTACAGGGCTGTGGTAAGCAGGCAGCACAGGAAACAGAACTGATTAGTTCATGACTCATAGCAACTGTGGGTCTCTAGGTTTGAGACTCGTTCACCGCTCACATGGGTCCTCCTCTGTCTTTCGTTGTCTGGTTGTATACTCAGGAAAGTGGAAGGATTTAGGTGGAGTAGTGGATTGCATATAGACTACATATTTCTGTGGTTTTTACATGGTTTGAATTTGGTTGTGGGCCCAGGGGGGTTTATATAATGATGATAGAGAAAGATCAAGAGGGGAATTTGTGCATTATACTTTGTCAAATAAAGCAAGCCAGGCAACCTTCCATGTTTGAGAACGGTGCTGTTTTTTAATCGCCAACTAGAGGGCTGCAATAATAACCAGCCTAGTTCAAATGAACGAAATGACTCAAAAAAAGATTAGTTCATTTTAATGAACGAGATTTGGTGACTCGAGTCTTTCAAAAGAGTCAAACTTGCCAACACTACAGCAGGGGACGCACAGGAGGAATTTTCACGTCCTTACAACAGTATAAAAGGATTCAGGTTGAAAATCTGTGTGTTTCTGAATGTTAGGTTTGTCTCTACATGTAGGAGGTTGTGTTTCTGTACGGGTGTGTTCTGATCTCCCAGTAGCTCCCTGCTAAGTGGACTGCACAGGGTATTCGGCCATTTTAAGTAAGATCCCAAACGGCAGGGAGCACAACATGTTCAGTTCAAAGTGAACAACGGCTCATCAGTTCACAGGAAGTTGACAAGAAAATTACCCATAAGCCTTTGCACCTCATAGAAGCAGCAAAAACTAACAATGGAGCAGACAATAGAGTTTATATATCTGTAATTATTGTTGTGGTAACTAATGTTATCATTATTTATATGATTATTTCAGAAGTTAGGTTACCTAAAACAAACAATGCTCATATGAATCTTTTCAAGAATGACGCTGCATATTATCCAATCACATTCATTCACAAGTTACATACATTTTAATAGAATAGAAACAGAAGGAGTTACAGAAATATAAGTTTTGTAATTGTATCAGTTTGTTTAAATATATATTCAATATTTAATTTCAGTAAATGTCCACAGTAGCAGCGGGTATCCGAGGTGTTTATGTTACCAGGGTAACACACGGCGGAACTTCGGTGTGCTTTGATGTTGCAGAGTGTTCCGAATGGAAGGATTTAGAAGTTCTCTGAGCAGCGAGTTCTGTTTGTGTGGATCAGAACGCAGCCTGTGTCTCTAAGTTTTAGGGTTTTTCACTCTTACTGTTCTTCATTTCTACTGTTCAGATTTGGAGATTATTTTTGGTCACCACCAGAGAAAGCTATGTATAAAAAACAGCTGCTACTAGAGAACAGAATAGAGGGCAGAGCTTTGTCTCTCTTCACGCTCACTTCTGTTCATGAGACTATTTCTGTTTTGCTCGAGCTCAGTCAATTTCTGTGGGGGAAGTTGTGACCAAACCTAAAACCACATGGACATGTGTCTCTGCTGAGGTGATGGGATACTTTTATCTACAATACTGCAGTTCAACTTTGTGATTTAAAGGATATATGCACTAATAATTTAAGAAATGTATTTTTGTTCAAATTCAGTGAATATCTCCTCACAGTCTGCTAGCTGTCTGCTCTGTGTGTGTGTGCTGAAAAATAATCCAGTGTTTGTATTCAGCCCTGGCTCTGTAAATGGGAAACAAACTCCAGCAACGGATGCTGTGAAGCTAACCTCCTCATGAGGAGGTCAACAAGTTCTGAGTTTACCATCTCAGGCTCAATCAACTCAGAGCTCAGGGATGAGCTCAGAGTTTGTTAAGCCTGCTTTCTGAAACAGGGCCCTGGTGTGCTGCTCTGGGAAAAGTCTCCTCCTCTCTCCATGTTAGCTCTGCAGCAACAACTGTAGCAACAGTTTGCAAACCCACAGCCTAGCTGACGTTAGTGGCATTACCTGCTGTGTCGTTGTCGTATTGGATTTTTCCAGAACTGCCACTTTAAAGAATAATTATATTTTCAATTAAAATCAGAAGTTGCGCCCTCCTCTTGTCACCAGCCCTGCTCAAATCATGTTACACAATACACTAACAATTTATTGTTTATTTGTGCATGTGTGTGCGTCCACAGTGCCTACATTTTAATGATGTGTTCTCTCAAAATGCTATATGAGGAAAAAAGGCCTGGATGCCTGTGCATTACTCTGTGACCAGGTCTGTATTATCAACGCATGCAACAGAAACACCTCAGTAGTTTAACTTTTAAATGTTGTCATTCATGCTGATCTGTGACCTGATGCACCTCTCATTATGGATGTAAAACAAAATCACAACAGATAACTTAATTAGTGAACCGCAGATTTGCATGTAGTGCTACAGAGTTAAAGTCGACTTGCCCTCCCTCCTCACTAGACTCTGTGCCTCTGAAAACTGACTTACAGACACAAGTGCAGCAGAGGCTAGGAGGGGCCAGGACTCTGGCTCCCTAATAAAAATATCAGGGTGCTGTGAGTCATCTTACAGTATGATACGATATGTATGTCTTTGTAACCCATTCAGTTTTGTGTAGAATAGTACATCAGAAAATAGAGCTGGTCCTTGTTTGACGTCAGAATAAATAATGTTTTCAAGTTTTCAAGTGGTTTACAATTCTCTTAAATTATTTATTTAGGCAAATGTGATGCTGCAGAGGTTCTCATCAGATATTAATCTAAAACAGAGGCCAGATATCAGGATTTATTTGTAAAGCAGCCATGTTATAAACCTCTGGAATTATAGATTATATGAGATTATAATAGCTTTAACTAATGTTTTCCAACTTTTAATTTTCAGACTATGTTTCCTGTGGGCTGAGTAAAGATGTATGTAATTTGAGATGTTTTTACCTCATGTTGCCACAGTAACTTCAGATATCAAACGCACAAATCAAGTCAAATGAACACAACGCTCAAATAAACGGGTGCATTTGTTTTTTTTCCATTGTGCTATAAATATTACTTTGAAACTAGAGTCTGAGGGGAAAAAAACAAGCCAAGCCTGTGCTTGTCAGCATGAGAGAAAAATAACCTTCCAGTTCCTCTTCACACATAAAACGGTGTTGCTGTGAGATCAAGAATCAGTGTCATCACCACATTCACACCAAAGCTGATGTATGTATACGCAGAAAGGAAGAGAGATCATTATAGAAGGTACGCGTTGATGTCACTTCCCTTCCGGAACACGCTGGATTGAGCGCCAAAACATCTGTTACCATGGCTGCGTGTAGCAAACCGGAGAAAAACAAGTGATTATTTGCTCAAATTAAAGGCAGTCGGACTCGAAAGTGATCCTTACTGCTTACCAAAGAACCAGTGATCCAGCTCTTTCCCATTTTAGATGTTGTTTGTGTTTTAGCTGATTAAAGCTAACACTGCTGCTCGTCTTTCTGCCCTCAGGGAGCGTTACTGCGTTCTGTGACATCATCCGCATACCCTCTATTCTGCAGGATGTACAATAAAAACAGAAATTTAGTCGTGTAATGCATAGATAATAATAGATGATATGTGAGAAAGCCTTAACATGACTGTCAGTGTCTGCACTCACTGCAAGCTGAGCAGAGACAAAGCAGAGAAAAGCCAGACGCCAGAGGAACAGCCTCAAATTCCTTTTCCAAGAATGTGGTCTCCTTATAAACTTGCCTTATTACCTTGTTTGAATTAAATAATCTTTAAGTTACTTAGTGGCCTGCACTTCAATTCTTCAGTTCTATTACCGTGTTCTTGTTAGAAACTGTGTTGAAAAGGAGAATCCACAAAGAAGTTAATTTTGCAGTGCTCTTTAATCTTCAGCAATGCTCACTGAAATTCTGGCATTTAATTTGTTGTAACTAATGTTTATTCCCAGCACCTTTATATACTTTCTTAGAAATGATATGATAAGGAATTATTGTCATGTGTTAAATAACCAATTTTCCCAGCTTCTGAGCCAAGGACTGAGTTTAACTATAAGTAGATAGACAGAGAATTCCCAGGTCCTCTCATGGAACCAGTGTCCCCCAGAGGACAAAAGAAGTATTACATGTCAATGTTCTTTAACGCCTCTCCTTGCGCTTGATTTATATACTGTTTTATTGTTCGTAATCTGATGCCATGTTCTTATAACTTCCTTGTATATTTTCTAAGAGTGTCAAAACTGTCAATATTCTCCTGGAAGTTAGGTTTAGTTAAGATTAACGATTGACAATAACTTCCTTTCCTGTTTATCAAATGCTTAAAACTAAGAACTGTATAACGGTTTAGGACATTTAAGAGTTGATTGTGAAAAGGTATTTGATTAAAACACACGCATATAGACTTTAAGAACATATAAATGTTAAGACACAGAAATCAGAAGTAATAGATAGCAAAAATCATGCGGCCCAGATCCTTCATAAGTTCTGGGCCAGATCTGTAAAACGGACCCGGGCCGGTGTCCTTTAGCACAACGGGCCAATGCCGGTTCAGATCCGGTTTTCACATCTGGGCCGGCATTGGTCCAGCTCCAGAACGGATGACAATTATTATGTAGTCATTTGGCCCAAATGTGGGCCAGATCTGGACCAGTTCCATACTGGATCTGGCCCAGAGTCTAAGATACTGTTGAGGATCCGGTTACTGGGATAGTTTCAACCACAGAACTTATGGCAAGAGCTGGTCTATATAATGTATAACAAATAGTGACTTGTATATCACTAGGTACACTAAGATTTCTTGTTTTACTTTCGTTTTCATTTTCCTTGCATTTTAAACTCAATTACTTTTTTCTTTTGAATTTAAAAAGCATGGACAGTCAAAACTACTGTTACACTCTGTTACAAAGACTGTTTCTATTTGTCCTACACAGAATTTCAACAAAGAAAGTGATAGAACGGATGAGTGACACATTTTAAATTTTATTTACAGCTTCTCTGTTAAGAAAACCAGA